TTTTTTCATGAAAAAAGTGTGCCTTTGCACAAAAAAGGTTGAAAAACACTGCTTTAGGCAATTGCAGTGAATATGTGATTGAGAGCATGGAACTAATACAGTATCAGTGATCTTTGTAAGTTTTAACTGGAGCACTGAAATGGGGAATATTCAATGTTAAACAATGCTTTACCTGACCTACAAAACCAGCTCCTTTGTAGAAATCCAAATTTCTTTAATAGCCTTCAACTTAAGAGCCTTTGTTCAGGGAATAGTTCTTTATATGGGTCAGTTCTCTTAACACCTTCTTTAATTCAAGAATATATTATTTTGAAACTCAGGGGTGACCTTGGTTGGATTGCCAGGGAGAGAGAAGATAGCATGTGCAGAGAAAAAAAATGAACTGCTCAGAGAAAAAAAAATGGCATGAATTATTTACTTATTTTAAAATATTTTGCATTACATATCAAGTACTGCATATTCAGTGGTTACGGTAATAAAAGCTACAAAATAAATATGCATTATTGATAAAAAGATACCCTTCTATATCACACACTACTTAGTTGAAGGCTAAAAAAAATCATCAGCATGAGTTATGCAACACAACATTAGTTAAAAAATAAAAACTCACCAACTGCCTAAACTCCAACTAAAGTAGTGAAATGTTTTATTTCTAGTGGATAATTGGGGGGGGGGGAATGATACCACCACACCAAAAAGCGCTTACAGGTCAGCATCATCAACAGTAAAATAAAAATAAAACCAATATTATGTTTTATTTTACAAACCGAACACAATATGCATAGATCCAGCTACTAAATAAGTTGCTCTAGACTGCAAAATATTTTAACTTGCAAGCATATGGTTATTTTACTAAGAGGCAATGATCTTCCATGTATGACTTGCTGTTTATAAGGCAATGTAATATTCCTGCTCTTTGTTGTAATTAAATATTCAGCAAACATTACTGCAAGGATGGATATGCTAAGACAGTGATGGTATCGTAACTCAAATTGGCTGTTGAAGCAAATCAGTGTACTAACAATGCATGTCTTAGAAATGGATATAACACAGATCTGCTTTCCTGGAATATGTTTCATATATTGGACACAATCCAAAAACATTTAAAAGTGCCCATGGTTTCCATAAACATAAAACGGCCATACACACTTCACATACTCAAATAGTGTACGTTAATGCATATTTCATTATTATTGGTGGTATTGAGAATATGCACTCATTTTGGCCTCATACACAATAAAAATGTATTAACTTTCTAAAATACTAATGAAGTTACTCTGCAATATCTGGAAAAACTTAAGTCTTACCTAAGTAACATTAGACAAATATAAGTTCTACATGCATTTACTGTGGATTAAACCAACTCTTGTTTTATTTTGGTAAAATCATAGGACTGAACTGCATTACTTTTAGGTCTTTACAAAAAAATCATGTCATTTTTCACTCTTAATACTTAACTGGCATGGATGGATCTTACTCTCTTTTATTTGGTCACTTCTATTTGTTGTTCTTGGCATCTGTTACAGATCATCTTTCCTTTCTTCTACTCCTCCCACATCTTATGTAGCTCATACAAAGTGGCCTATGGTTGATTAGTAGGCCATATGCTCAGATGAAGAGTGGATGAAACAAATCCATAACATGTTCTCACCCAATTAAAAGAGGTACATATCATTTAAGGCAAAGGCTATAGAGTAGTCCTTGACTTATAAGCCAAATTGAGGCCAACATTTCTGTTGCTAAGCAAGACAATGGTTAAGTGACTTTGGTCCCATTTTATGACCTTTCTCACCAAAGTTGTTAAGTGAATCAGTTCAGTTGTTAAATGAATCTGACATCCCCATTGACTTTGCCTGTCAGAAGGTCAATCAATCAATCAATCAATTCACAGAGCTGGAAGGAACTTTGGAGGTCTTCTAGTCTAACCTCCTGCTCAAGCAGGAGATCCTATACGATTTCAGATAGGTTGTTGTCCAGTCTTTTCTTAAAAACTTCCAGTGATGAAGCACCTATAACTTCTGGAGGCAAGCTGTTCCACTGGTTAATTGTCATGTTAGGAAGTTTTTCCTCAATTCCAGGTCGCTTCTCTGCTTGATTAGTTTCCATCCATCATTTACTGTCTTGCCTTCTGGTGCTTTGGAAAATACGTTGACCTTTATCTTCTTTGGGACAGCCCCTCAAAAATTGGAATACTGCTATCGTATCACCCCTAGTCCTTATTTTTTCTAGATTGGCTATATACAATTCCTCCAACCATTCTTCATATGTTTTAGTTTTCAGGCTTTTAATTATCTTAGTTGCTGTTCTTTGCACTTTTCCCAAAGTCTCAACATCCTTTTTTGTAATGTGGTGACCCCAACTGGATGCAGTATTCCAGGTGTGGTTGCAAAAGGTGATCCCATGACTCTAGGACACTGCAGCAGTCATAAATGCATGCCAGTTGCCAAGTTCTGAATTTTGATCATGTGACCATGGGGATGCTGCAATGGTCATAATTTAGAAAACTTCTATGCTATTGTAACTTTGAATGGTCACTAAATGAATTATTGTTAAGTTGAGGACTACCTGTAGTTTCCCTCTATGCCGGAGCAGCACTTTTAAAAAATGGGCCAAGCAAGATGAAACTACATTTCATTTTATAAAAGTTAAACTTCATTCACTTAATGCAACTACAATCTAACTGTTCCCACCTACTGTGTATAATCCCTTTTCTGTCACATTCAAAATTCCAGGTTGAGGGCAACTTGTGAAGGGGTTGAGAGCCACATGCAATCCTTGCTTCCTTTCATGGCACCTGAGGTTATGAAACTTACATGAAAGAACTCTTAAAATGTCATAATGTTCTCTCATTCCATCTCCTTCCTTCCTCCTTCCCTCCTTCCCTCCTTCTCATCTTGTCCTTCCTCCACACTCAGGAAAGGATGAGGGGAGGGGGTGAGATTGGCAGCACAACCACACCCACTGGGCATGCACACAGGAGGCGACAAGTGTACAGGGGGCGGGGCTGAGGCGACTCCTTGCTGGCTCCACAGCTGCCCCACGGATCTAAGGCTCACCACATTTTGGTCCGGGTGGCTGCCATCAAGTTATAGGACCCATCCTGGGCTGGTTCTTCGCTGTCTCCAGAGCAGCTCCCAGGCCAGATCTGGTCACATCGCAGGCCAGATCTGGCCCGCAGGCCTTGAGTTTGACACCCCTGGTTTAGATGGATTATTGTATTTATTTAAGAATATCTTATGTCCCAACTCAGTCCTGTTGGATGATTCAAATTCCACTTTTTCCTTGGATTCACTCTACAGCCTTCACTGACCAATTTCAAGCACTGCATTATGTTCTTTTATGGATTTTGGCTTAGCACAATTGATGAACCCAGCTAGTGGTGGATATATATTATGCTTTCTTATTTGAGCAACCTACTGTTTGTTTAATAGACTGCAGGCAAAGCACACCCTGCTTCAGTACTAAGTTATATCTGAACTTCAGCTTCTGGTAAGTAGGGTGGTTGCAGGATGATCCCGAAACCAAGCAATCATAGGATTTGGGAGCCTGATCTGCTGGATCAGTTTATTGGTTAGCACTGTATCTTAAGGAAATCCATCAAACTGGAGCAAAGCCTGATTCATTTAAGTCCCACAAGTCTGCAAAGACAGCCACAAGATGGATGTAATAAGGCCAAGACTGCAATTCTGTTCATAATTACCTAGAAGTAAACTGTCCTGTTTTCAACAGTGCTGAGCAGCCGTGTCCTTTGAGGCCTTACCGCGAAGGAGCATAGTCCCAAAAGATTGCGGAACCTGATTTTGCAGCCCTTACAAGATAGCAAAGCGCGGCTCCGTATATGGAGCAACCAACCTCAAAAGTTGGTTACAACAGGGGAGAGAAAGGCATTCAGAAGGGAAGTTCCCGGGCAGAGCGGAGAGTTTGATTAAGCCCCCCTTTCCCCTCAAAACTTCACTCGAGGTCGCCAGGTTACAAGACTGTTCGAGAGTGAATGGCGATTTGAAGGAGAAAGAGACACCTCCCCCCGCCCGACATCCCTTCCCCATTCTGGCCTTTTCCCTCGGACGCCCCGTCTCCCTCGACTTGCAAAGCGGAAAACCGGCTCGCGGTTCACCCCGAAGCCCAAGCCCAGAGGCTTCCGCAGAGCTTTCCCTTCCGCCCCGTCTCGCCCTTGCGCGCACGCCGCCTCGGCCGAACCCCGTTGCCCCGCTCCTCCTCCCTCGCAGCGACTTCCAATGCCCCTGTAGCCCACAATGTGTCAGTGGTTGCAAAAGAGGGGAGGCGGGCCTTTTGCTCGGTGAGTGACGCGGGGCCAACTTCATTCAAGCCTGCCCGTCAGAAGGAGGCAGCTCTCCCGCGCGCGAGAAGCCCCGCTGAAACCCTCAGCCGCTGCCCGGCTAAGTTCGCTGGGAGAGGAAGGTCGGCGCAACGCACGAGCTCTTCTTTGCGGCTCCCTGAGCTTCTCCTCCGCGCCTCCTCAGCCGCGGCGTTATACTACCTACACGCTAAACGGAGGAGGAGCCTGAGTTTCCCCTTCGCTTCCTCCACTTCTCCTTGCAAGCCTTTTTCCGCGGAGGAGCTTCCGGCGCTCGTCTTTATTTATCGATTTATTTATCGGCGTCTTTTTTTTCCTAGACAAACCTCTCCCCCTCCACCACCACTTCCTCGTCGAAGCCTGCTTGGGTGCAGGTGACACACCCTCCTCGCTCCTCCCCTCCATTCACCCCGCTTCTCGGCGGCGGCGGCGGCAGCTCCCGAGCGTTCCCAGCAGGTTCTCCCTGCCTTGCCTCCGAGCTGGCCCGAAGGCAAATGCCGGGGAATCGGCTGGCCGAAGGAGAGGGGAGAAGCTGCCCTTCTTCTCTTTGCTGAGAGTCTCTCTCGCTCTCTCCTCTGGAGCAGATCGGGCTCGGGGAGGGGAGGGAGGAGGAAAAAGGAGGGCGAGCGGCAGGAGTGCGCTTGTGGGGGACTCGAAGGCAAGAACAGCGGGCGAGGGCGCCGAAGGAGGAGGAGGAGGAAACGAAAATCCGGCTCGCCCGCGCGGATTGAGCAGGGCAGCGCTGTCCCCCAAAGATGTCATCGCAAGCAAAGTTCAAGAAAGACAAAGAGATTATCGCGGAATATGAAACTCAAGTGAAAGGTGAGTCTGACTCCCCCTTCCCAAGCTTTCTCCCCTTTTCCTCCTCCTCCTCCTCCTCCTCCTCCTCCTCCTCCTCTTTTTCCTCCTTCTC